CATGTTCTAGTACACCCCCAAAACAAAATCAAGACTTTGTAAAAGAGCATAATAGGACCCCTTTAACTATTTATTGATGCAATGGACAAACTGTACATTTTCTGTTAGAGCTATATACATATCTAGAGCATAAAATATTTTTGCAGACATGAGTCGAAGTGGATTATAGTACATGCAGTTTGCTGAAAATATCTAAATAAATAATATATATCACTACAAATATATATTGTAGCTTTACTAAAATTTTTGCTTGGCTAGTTTTAATTTTAGGCCCTGTTTTTATTGGTCTATCTATTGTACAGACAGACAGACAGACAGACAGACAGATAGATAGATGGATAGATGGATAGATGGATAGATGGATAGATGGATAGATAGATAGATAGATAGATAGATAGATAGATAGATAGATAGATAGATAGATAGGGTTGTTATATTTTTAGTTAGTCCTTTACAATCAATCTCTACATGTTAATGCACTTATTATGACTAGCATGGACTTAAGTTGAAAGCCCCAACAGAATGTGGGATCATTTGGTAGGTTCAGTCAGGGACAAACATGCAAAAACACCCATGCCGCAAGTAACTACCTCTACCTCAAAGTATTCCAAACAGTTGCACAGCAAAGGAGTACATTCAGGATCAATCGTTTCTGACATTTGATGTGGTCATCATGCTAAAGTTTTAAACAAAATAAAGATGAAGTAAACATTGTTTTGAACAATATTTTGAATGGCAACCACGTGCAGGTGTTCCAGGGAACAAGAAACAGACTTGCCTGGCCTGTGGAAGACCGTAACTTGTGCCGACGCCAACGCAAGGAAGACTGTAGACCACCTTCTTCACTGTGGGCTGATCGGGGAAGTTAAACATGACGGACGCTGAGGGAGGGAATGACGTCACATGTTAAACTAGGGCCTACAGTACAGTACATCCAAATATGAGTAAACATTTCCACAAACAGTACAAAGACTTCAGAACAGGTAAACAAATGCTGCTTAGCGATCGTTCAGTCTCACACTATTCTCATTCTTATGGAAATAACATCAATTCTTATATAAAGAAAAGAACAAATCTCAATAAGTTAGCACAGAAGTATGTTAGTCTACCAAGGCCAATGGGAAGACACTACAGTCTTAAAAATAAAGGTCGTTTATTGGCACCAATGGTTCTATGAAGAACCTTGAACATCCATGGAACCTTTCAAATGCAGAAAAGGTTCTTTAGAGTCGAAAAAGGTTCTTTAGATTTTTAAAAAAGTTCTTCAAAATGGTTCTTTTATGAGCTGTTCACTGAAAGGTTCTTTTGGGAACCAAAAATGGTTCTTCTATGGCATCACTGCAAAAACACCCTTTTGGAACCTTTATTTTTAAGAGTGTATTTTGCACAATAAAGAACTATAAATCTCTGCCAGCACTGAATCTGGGGGAAATGGCTTAAAAGCTTTTTAGTTGAATTTTGATTGATTTGATATCAAATTTCACACTCAGATTCATACTCTTTTGACCTAAATATACATGGGGTTGGGGGAGTTATCCATAAAATATTAGATATGATTAGTTAATGCATTAAGTATCATGAACTAATAATGAACAATACTTCCAATAATGTTTTTACTTAATTTCTGCATATAGCTTACTAAAATAGGAAGTTATACACTACTGTTCAAAAGAAGTCATTTTTGGTATGTTGTTGAAAGAAGCATTTAATGGTCACCCAAATCTGCATTTATCCAATTAAAATACAGTAAATATCGAGAAGCATTACAGTTTAAAATAATTGTTTTCTATTTTTAATATATTTTAAAATGTGATTGCAAAGCTGAATTTTCAGCATTATTACTCCAATGATCCTTCAGAAGTCATTCTAATATTCTGATTTGCTGCTTTTCTGTTATTAATGTTGAAAAACATGTGTTTTTATGCTTAATATATGTCGATATGATATGGACGATATGATATGTTTTATATAAAGTTCAAAAGAACAGCATTTATTTGAAAATAAACTTTTGTAAAATTATAAATGTCTTTAGAGCCATTTTTGATCAATTTGATGCATCCATGCTGAATAAAAGTTTTAATTTCCTTAAAAAAGATGGGTCACATTTTATTTTAACGTCCAGTTCTCGCTATTAACAAACCATTAACTATGACCTTTGCCTCATTAAACTCCTAATTTGCTGCTTATTAATAGTTAGTAAGGTAGTTGTTAAGTTTAGGTATTGGGTAGGATTAGGGATGTAGATAGAATATGGTAATGCAAATTATGTGCTTTATAAGTCCTAATAAACAGCAAATATGTTAATACTAGGCATGCTAATAAGCAACTAGTTAATAGTGAAAAGTGGTCCCTATACTAAACTGTTACCAAAAGATGTTATGACCCCAACTTTTTTAACTGTAGTGTATGTTAAGTATGAATTAACATTAGATTAACATCAATGCATTATGAACAATCACAAATTGAATGAAACTAACATGAACTCAGATTAATAAATGCTGTCAAAAACTGTTCATTATTAGTTGATGACACCTAATAATGCATTAGCTAATCTTAACAAACTGAACCTTATTGTAAAGTGTTACCAGTAAAATCTGTTCATCCATTTTGAAGCAGATTTTCAGGAAAACATGTATAAAATTTGTCACTGGGGCGGTACCTTTTCAAAAGGTACTAATTTGTAACATTTTGGTATTAATATGCACCTTTAAGGCACTAATATGCATCTTTTGGGATTAAATAAGGTACAAAAGTCTACTCTTGTGAAAAGGTAACTTTGTGTACCTTTGAGTGCAGGACTTCTTTGTTATTAACTAACTAGATACTTTGAGTGGCCATTGTTTTTGCATTCATAAAGTGGTAAACATGAGGCAGTTTTACTTCTGTTGGCCATAAAGATCTCCAGCGCTGTGTTCTGAAGCAGGAAGCGCCTGGTGAACACCGCTCGGATCTCGCTGAACATCCATTTGCCGTGAAGCCCCTCGGAGTAGACCAGCACCTACGCACAGGCAAAAGAGGAAAGAGATACGTTAACCGAATTGTTTTTCAATACGTTGTCACACATGTTATGATCGTTGCTCGGGAAACACATTCTGTAGTTGCATTTTGATTGTCACTCCAATCACCGTGCCATGAAGCCACTTTGACGGAGCACTGCGAAACATTCCATTCCCGTCAAAAATGCTGGCTGGTATCCATTGAGTGATGGCAGGCCAGGCTTTGATTATCTCAAAATGAAGGCATCTCTAAAAAGGTGCTGCTTTCTGTTGATGATGCAAAGGCCCGTCTTTCTACATTTTTTTGACACATCTTTCTCTTGTGGGGCCGACGCTCTCACCGTGCTGTTGGAACACAGTCCCTACGGGCGTAAGGCGGGCGTAAATAATCAATACTAACACTGGGCCGGGGCAAGAGGGGGATCATTAGTGAGCTTCTCCTCGGAGACCCCCAGGGACCTCAGATGCTGGATCAAGAGCTTCATCTTGACAAGTGAGAATGAGCCAAACTCCTTCCCCACCTACCACCACTTTAACAGACCAAGAGGTACACATGCACACACACAATCATATGCATACACACAGACATACTCGCACACTTCAAGCCCAAGAAAGAGAATGCCTTGTGGCTTATAGATAAGAGCCCTTTCTGGGTGGGTGCAGAGGTGAGGAAAGGTTCGGGACATTGTGTACAGTAACTGTGAATGGGAATGGGGTAAGGTTAGCACCTAAAGCTGATAGAGATACCAAAAGCTTCCACCAATCAGACCGGCCTTGCTTAATTTCTCTCTGGAATAATGTTCAACGCTGACACCGAAGAGCCTCCTGTCACTTCCGGGCCTCTGGGGCTTAATTAAAAATGGATTATATCAAAATGCTCACCATCCACCACCATAGGTGCCCTCACTCCATACAAACCAACAACAACAACGATATACAGATAGGTTTGCCCCCTCTTTGATACTGTATATCCATAGACATCAACTCAAAAAGCTGTCGTAGATACAGGTTGTATGTAAAACAGTGGATTGATAATTAGAACTAAATTTGGGAAATTCAGTATTAAAAGCTTTCCACGTGAGAGAACAATGGAGAGAACAGTAGCAAAAAAAAAAAAAAAAAAATTGGAATAAAGAGAAACCATCATGTTCAACAATCTAGGGGATCCGAAAACACAATAATAATATTAAAGGGGTCATATGATGCGATTTCAAGTTTTCAAGCTTTGGAGTGTTACAAGCTGATTGTGCATAGATAAGATCCCTGAAGTTGCAAAGACTAAAGTCTCAAAACCAAAGAGATATTCTTTATCAAAGTTAAGACTCTGCCACACCCCCCTAAAACGGCTCGTTCTAACACGCCCCCACATATCTAGGTCACTATGTGGGAATATTTGCATAATGCGCCCAAATGTGCACGCAAAGAAAGAAGGCGTGGTTTCACGCTGTGATGCAGCCATGTCAGGGAGACGCTGTGTGTTTCTAGGCGAAAGCAAAAGCACTTTATTTGGCCTTCCGAAAGTAGATGCATTGTCAACATATTCTGTTACACCAAATACACAAAATAATGATCTTTAAAAAAGCATCATATGACCCCTTTAATATTCATATATTAATGACAAACAAGTAAAAATAGCAACACTAATAAAAATTACTATTGATAATGATAAAAACAAATGTGTATTATTAAACATTTTAACAAGAATGATAATAATAAATTATAATAATTATTATTATTATTATTATTAATGATAATGATAAAAATGATAAATGTTTTAATAATAATAATAATAAATAATTATGCTTAAAACAAATAAAATAATTACGTCAAAATAATATTAATAATAATTCTTCTTGTTATTATTATGACAATGACAAAAACAATCATATATAATAATAATAATAATTGTATTATTATTATTATTAAAACATTTATCATTTTTATCATTATCATTAATAATAATAATAATAAATAATTATGCTTAAAACAAATAAAATAATTACGTCAAAATAATATTAATAATAATTCTTCTTGTTATTATTATGACAATGACAAAAACAATCATATATAATAATAATAATAATTGTATTATTATTATTATTAAAACATTTATCATTTTTATCATTATCATTAATAATAATAATAATAAATGTATGTAATAATGATGATGATGATAATAGTTAATATTATTATTATATTAATGCCAAGCAAATTAACCATATAAATATTAATAAAAACATGATTATTAATAATAAATGATAAAAAATAATAAAATAAATAATAATAATAATAATAATTACAACAACAAAAATAATATTATATGCTGAAAACAAATATGTATTTATACAACAATAAAATGTTGTTATTATTATCATTAGGGTTAGTAATTAATAACATAATAATGATTATACTACTAGTATTACTACTACTACTAATGACCAATAAAATTGTTAAGAAGAAAAAGTAGTTGTTTTATATCTGAACAAAATGAGACAGGTGCTCGCAATAAAAGGTACTTGCCCCTAATTTAAAAAAGAAAAAGAAAAAGAAAAGTAAAAACAGAAACCAAACAAAATAATACAAGACCTCTTAACAAAATAATACCTCTTTTTGTTTCAATGGACATACCTGTATATTCAAATTTATATGCATCTACACATGCCCTCGCCTGTCTCTTCCTGTGACAAAGCGCAGGCCAAAGGGTTAGCCAGCAACAAAAGATACTGCTAGAGAAAAAGCGTCTCAAAATAGGTCACATCAGAAAAAAATTTGTCATAACAGAGCTGGCACATCAAACATCAACAAGCCAGTGCCCCTGTAGACACAGAGGTCTTTGACAAAGTGCAGTCGTTATTCTCCCCCATCTTTTTGTTCTCATCACGGAGAAATGGAGAGAGAAAGAGAGAGAGAGAAGGACGGAGGCCCAGCTGTAAAAAATGGGGCTTAATGAACCTGTCTGGCTGGGCTGTCCACTGCCTGTCAGAGGTGTCACAATGGTGACGAGTGTCAGGGACGAGCGGCCCCGGGTCCCAGACAGGCCTGCCAGCTGGAGGCTTCTGCCCCAATCTAATCACACCAGCAGCAGCCGAGCAGGAACAGGCTCCAGGCTTTTACCTCACTGCTCCCGGCCTGTCAGCGCACACACAGCTACCTAGCCCACGTCCGGATGCTTATGTCTGCTGTATATGCAGCTGTTAGGGTTGGAAAAGCTGCCTAACAGATGTATCAAAACATATCTATTGCATCAGTGCAATTTTGGAATAACGCAATTGTTTCGTTGTCAATGCAGTTTGGATTCTGTATGTAAACACTGGACCCCTATCGATGACTGGCCCCACAATTATTCTGTTTTTGTTGCCGTTATCAGCTATTATTGAGCATGACATCCAAGCCAAATCTTTTTCATCGTCCCTATTCTTCAAAGGACGCCCTGAACTGGCCGCCGAATGGAACGTTATGACAGGGGTGAATACATCAAAAAGATCCGTCATTTTTAAACCGGACACAATTTTTCACACAGCCCCTCGAGAGATGAGTGCAATCTCTCTCCGTGTCAAATGTAAAAATAATAAAACACTGAAACCAAAACTAATGTACATGACATTTTAAAACATCAAGCACCTAAAATTAACTAATTAAATAAAACTACAAATAAATAAATAAATAAATAAATTGTCCATATAAGTATGTCTCATACTTACATTGAAAATAAATTATTAGAGGCTCAATAATAATAATAATTATTATTATTATTAAATATTAATGTTTACAAATATAAAAAAAACGAAAAATAATACAACACTGAAAACAAAACCATTGTACATGACATTTTAATAAGTCAAGCACCTAAAATAAAAAACAAACAAACCTAAAAGTACCATAGCCCATATGACCATGTCTGATAATTCTGTTGAGAATAAATTATTAGAGGTTTAATAATAGTAATAATAATAATAATAATTATTATTATTATTATTATTATTATTATTATTGTTGTTGTTGTTTGTTTAATATTAATAAACATGTATTTATAAATATTTTAATTCTTTCTATAATTATCATCAAACTTTCAAACTGCATGTAATTGTACTGTGAACGTTTGTCATGTGATATATTTATGTTTTCTGAAGCCATTTGCATCTTAACCTAATCTTGACTAGCTCTCAAATCTATTAAAAGCCTATTAAAACTTAACAAATGCACTGTGATGAGTTATGTGTGAGACCCAATAGTTTTTGTTGCAAAAATGCTGTGAAATGTCATGGGTGAACTGATGGCAATTTTTATTTGTGGGTGGGTTGTTCCTTTAAAGAGATTAAACATAAATTAAAGAGACCTTTAAAACAATCACTGCCACTCAACAGCAGTAACAGACACATTACGAAAAGGCTGAGCGACTTTTGTAGCTTGTAAATGGCCCTTACTGCATGCAGGGTACAGTGTGTCTGCTGTAAGGGGCAGCTGAGTTTGAAAGCAGACATGCTGTGGCACTGTAGAGAGGAAAGACCAGCACAGTATGTGACAGTCTTTACCAAAGGCTCTGTTTCTGAACAGGTGGGGGTCTGGACTGTTTACCGCCGGCTGTTGTTGGCTACTGGCTTCACGAGAAATAGCACAAGATGACAAGGTGTACTCCAGTCTGCCTACTATGTGTATGAATGTGTGTGTGTTCCCTCTCACCTAGCCTTGTCGCTGCCAAATTCATGCTTACATACTTCTTCCTCAGAGCTGCTGCTGCCCTTTCAACCTTAATTTACATCACAAGGAAACTAATTTTAGAGTTTTTGGTCAACATGTGCTCCAAAAAATGACTGAATTGTTTGTAATCTCTAATTTTGGAAAGCCAGCACAGGAAATATTGAGCAGCACAACTGTTCTTAAAGGGATAGTTCACCCAAAAATGAAAATTCTGTTATCAATTACCCTCATGTCATTCCAAACCCGTAAGACCTTCGTTCATCTTCAGAACACAAATTAAGGTATTTTAGATGAAATCTGAGAG